AACATAATTTTATTTTTTTTATCCCCCTTTTTACTGTCATAAATTTTACATTTTAAATAATACTTGTTAATATTATGTAATAAATAACCTTTATAAAAATAATACATAGATAAACAAATTATAGAAATAGAACTAAGAATATGGAAGGAAACTAGCCCCTGAAATACAGGTATTATATCCTAGTATAAGGGCTAATGACCACTGTAAATTTGGTGCATGTAATATGTTTATCAATAAAGATTATTATTATTATTATTATAGATTTATAACTAAATATACAAAATAAAAAGATAAAATTACATGTCACCACAAGGTCTTTGCGGGAGGCATATGAAGTAGATTTGACAACCTGTAATATTTATATAATTAAATGACTACATAATTTGAAGGTTTTGTCCATCTCATAATTTGTTGCAGAAGGGTTAGTTATTGCATAGAACTAATACCCTTTGCTCTGACGATGCTGCACCATCACCCCATGTTGATTTATAGAGATTTGGGTTAGTCATTTTCAAATGGTATGGTAAATATTATATCCGTAGAAATCTAATTGCAAGAGATTCGCTAATTAACGGCACCGTCAAATCGTGTGATGTTGAGGTTAACATCATCAGAGAATACAGAACATCACCTTAATCGAAGTTGAAATATTCAAAATAGGTTGGCTTATTAGATAATAATCTTCGATCAATTATATACTAGATTAAGGATCAGGAACAAAAATAAGTCGGACAAGTGGCCACGTTTGCACACACATAAACATCTATCTATCTTAGAAAAAAGTTTAATAACATTAACAACTTCAGTTTATTATAAACGTTAATAACACTCTAACATAAAGTTTAATCACTATTGCAAAATATATTAATTTAAGTCCTTTCATAAGAGAAAAGTTAAAAGCAATAAGTTTAGATACATAAACATACATACATAAACACTCACGCCTGTCACCCAGAGGGGTAGGCAGAGACTACAGACTTCCATTTGGTACGATCCTGACACACTTCTCTTGCCTCCTTCACATCCATACACCTACGCATACATGCTCGTCGGTTAAGGGTACTCCTAATTTGGCCCGTTTTCAATAAATCACCAATTTGGTCGATAAATTTTCCCCTAGGACGTCCCTTTCCGACTCTGCCATTCACTTCTGCACCATAAATTTTCTTTGTCACTCTTTCCTCATTCATTCTTTCCAGATGACCAAACCACCGAAGCATTCCTTTCTTAATCCTGGTCACAACATCATCTTGCAAACCACACTCCTCTCTTATTACACAATTTCTTACCCTGTCATTCAGATTCAGCCCTAACATACTCCTTAACGACCGCATTTCTACTGCGTTTATTCTACTCTCGTGCTTCTTCTGCCACACCCAACTTTCACTACCATACGTTAAAGTAGGGACCAACACAGCATTGTGAATTGCCATACGTGCCTTTTTCGACACATTTTGACTCTTCACAATAGAGTGCAAGGCCCCATTTACTCTATTTCCCGCATTTACTCGTCGTTCTATATCCTTATCATATCTCCCATCCCTGCTAAATACGCAGCCCAAATATACAAACTCATCTACTTGCTCGATCAACTCCCCTTCTATTCTTATTTCACAAATCGTTTTACTTTCTTCTCTTTCAAAAACCATAACCTTCGTCTTACTTGCGTTCACTTTCATACCCCTTTCTTTTAATGATCCGTTCATTAATGTAACCATCATTTGCAACTCGGCCGCTGACGACGCAAGAATAACTTGATCATCGGCGTACAAAAGGCATTTGACGGTTAACTCACCCATTCTTAATCCGCATTCTTCAACTTTCAAATTTTGCAAACAACTGTCCATAAATAGGTTGAACAGCCACGGGGAAGCCACACAGTCCTGTCTGACACCTTTATGGATGTCAAACCAGTCCGAGTAGACCCCGTTGATCCTAACACAAGCACTAGAGTCCCTATAAAGAGACTCCAATGCCTGCATCAAGCCAGCGCTCAACCCAAATGAGTTCAGTGTTTGCCATAGCAAATCCCTATCCACTTTACCATAGGCCTTTTCCAAGTCCATGAACGCACAAAAAACCTTTTGGTTTTTGGCCAGAAACTTCTCCGCGATCATGCGCATGGAAAAGACTTGATCTGTACATCCCATTCCCTTTCTAAATCCCGCTTGCACATCCCAAATTTTTCCATCAGTTTCTTTCATGACCCTTTCAATCAGTACCTTAGCATACAGTTTTCCCACAATGCTAATAAGGCTGATGCCACGGTAGTTTTTACAGTCCTGCTGCGACGCTCTTCCTTTATATACTGGGACTATCACGGCTTTGCACCAGTCTAACGGTACCCGCTTCAGTTCCCAGCATAAATTAAACAAGGTGTGCAGCAGGCCTGCCACCACTTCCTCTCCAGCCCTTAGCATTTCGAGTGAAACTCTATCATATCCGGCAGCCTTACCTGCTTTCATGCTTTTCATTGCTTTCATTATTTCATCTATACTTATCTCGCTACCTCTTTCCTCTTCTTTCGGTGTTTCTACTTCACTTAGTACACACGTTGTCTCCTCACTCATAAACACGCTTTCAAAATATTCCTTCCAGATGGAAGTGGAGTTTAAAGAGATCTTTAAACTCAAAACTTCATCATTCAGAATATAGCCATTCTCGTCTCTTATAGCATTCATCATAGGCTGTTTTGAATGTCTCCTGGCAGTTCTTAAAAGTTTCCAGAACATTTTAATATTTGCCTGGAAGTTATCCGATATTCTTCAATCATTCTTATCCGTTCTTTCTTGCTTTTTTCTTTCAACTACTTCTTTTACTCTCTTATTAAGATGTCTAAAGACTGCCTTTTTTCTTTCAATATCACCATTCGTACCACTAGAATTAGCAGCCTTTGTTGCTAGTAAATCTAGCCATGCTCTCTTCTTTGCTTCAACTTCCATACGTATCTCATCATCCCACCATAACGTATTATTTTTCCTTTCATTCTTTCTCTTACTAACACCACATACTTCGGTAGCTGCATCCTGCATCCTGCATCATAAGTTTAGAATGTCGCTTGAAAATAAAAAGTCATAGGTACAAAAATATTTATTCTAAAATGAAACTTAAACTCTTAAGTAATAAGGCTATAACAGTATGTTGACATTTTCGTGCTTACTCTAATTTGGTAGTAGACGTAGTTCTTGGTATTGTTACGAGCTTGAGGTTCGTGATAATAAAAATTGCCGATAAAATTACCTAAATTAACACTTTAATTTACTTTACACAAATTAAAACTTAAAACACTAATAATTAAACACACTAATTCACTTTATTCAGCTCCGAAGCTTCGCTTGTCTCGCCAAATCCAATACTGCCCCGATCGCATCTTGCAGCGCCTATATATACAAATTAGCAATGAAGCATCCGGAATATTCAAGTAAATGCGCGCAAAGCGATGAGTGTTCGAGTGTAGATTTTCTAGAAACTTAGTTCTTCGGATGGCGCTGTCGGTTGAAAGATTTGTGATGTCATTTTCTGCAAAGCTCCCCTCGCTCTCGTTCCTGACACTAGATGGCGCTAGTGTATGACGTTGACTTATTCACGCAACAGTATTATATTTCAATGCTCGGAACACAGTAAGTATTGAAGTATTGAAAGACGTAGAGTTCAGAATATAAATATTTTAGGGCAAAGGTAGTTTTGTTTGGTGGCAAATATTTTTGACCGATTTATAAAAGTAGTAGGACTATGTAGTAGGTATTTGATCAATGGTCGACAATATCTTTTTTTAAATACCCTTTTCTAGGAGTGTCACATATCGATGTTAAATCTGATAATGACGCATCAGGAGACTTCAAGCAAACTGCATCAGTCCGAGGTACGTCACATATTTCTATGGTATCTTCAAAAATTAAAGTTTATTGAAAACAAGTATTTCATGAAAATACCTACTGGTGTAGTTTTTTTCTGATAAAGATTTTATTTTAATTACCTGATTTGATAACTTCTTTTCGTCATTCTGAACATAAAGCAGATTGCACTTTTATTGGCCCGCGAATCTAAAAAAGTCATAAACAATTTACTTTTTTACCAAAATCATTATCTTATACTAACAATTTTACTACTTTATGATAATTAACTGCAATTTAGGAACCGCTGTTTTTAGTAATCTGCACCTTTGCGTGTTTTCAGTTATGTTCATTCAATCAAAATGAATCGAGCATACTCTTAAATTTTTAGATGGGTTGTATATATAGTTCTTCTCCTCTTTCTTTCGCGACAATAGATACTCATTATGCACAGCGAAATGGGTCCCTAGGAAATCTACAAACAAAAAAAAATACATTAAATAATAATACAACTCCATGCATGTTTGTTCAAGAACAGTCGATGTTTGTTACAATAGTAGTTGCGTTGTAGAGCAAATATTGGCCAAACAATCATAATATTAGCTAATTGAATTATTTTTGCTACTTAATTCTGTTTTTATTTTATGAAAAACACTTAATGATATAAACTTACCGAAAAAAAGATATTCTTTCCAAACTCTTGGTGTTACGGTGGTTATTTGCACAGTTTTTGAACGCGCGCACTGCGGCATTTCGACGTTTTAACGTTAGCTATGATTGGACCATACTAATTTGAAATAAGACCACAGAAGTGTTTGTGGTCTTATTTTTCTGGCCGTTTTTGAAGCGCTTGTCGGTAATCTAGTATATTATTGATCGAAGATAATAATTGATTTAATCTCGTTTTTTCAAGCTCTTATGATATTTGAAATGCAAAAATTTGATAGAAGCAGAAAAGAAACTGCTGGGTATAGTAGTTTCTGCTTCTACCTAACCATGCCTTGAACTGTTTCTAAGACGCAAAATGTAGATGCGTTATTACCCCAGAAAACTCAGATGGAATGCATCGTTACTAGTAAAAATGATCTTTGCTGCTCTAGATTCATTATATTAAATACAGCAGCATTTCGCTGCAGTCAGTAAGAATGAGTGTGTGTGTGACACCAGGTGCGCCTCTACGATAACCGCGGGTTGCTGTCGCTGGGCAACGGCACGTTCGCGTCGCTGCAGGCGCTGCGCGACCTCGACCTGAGCCGTGCCGGCGCACGCGTGATGCCGCCGGACCTGCTGCAGGTACTGCTCTCAACGAACACTGAACATGCATACTACCGTCACACATGCTGCAGTGACTGCTCTCAACGAATACTGAACATGCATACTACCGTCACACATGCTGCAGGTACTGCTCTCAACGAACACTGAACATGCATACTACCGTCACACATTCTGCAGGTACTGCTCTCAACGAACACTGAACATACATACTACCGTCACACATGCTGCAGGTACTGCTCTCAATGAACACTGAACATGCATACTACCGTCACACTTGCTGCAGGTACTGCTCTCAACGAACACTGAACATGAATACTACCGTCACACATGCTGCAGGTACTGCTCTCAACGAACACTGAACATGAATACTACCGTCACACATGCTGCAGTGACTGCTCTGAACGAACACTGAACATGCATACTACCGTCACAACTGCTGCAGGTACTGCTCTCAACGAACACTGAACATGCATACTACCGTCACACATTCTGCAGGTACTGCTCTCAACGAACACTGAACATACATACTACCGTCACACATGCTGCAGGTACTGCTCTCAATGAACACTGAACATGCATACTACCGTCACACTTGCTGCAGGTACTGCTCTCAACGAACACTAAATATGCAAACTACCGTCACACATGCTGCAGGTACTGCTCTCAACGAACACTGAACATGCACACTACCGTCACACCTGCTGCAGGTACTGCTCTCAACGAACACTGAACATGCATACTACCGTCACACATGCTGCAGGTACTGCTCTCAACCAACACTGAACATGCATACTACCGTCACACATGCTGCAGGTACTGCTCTCAACGAACACTGAACATGCATACTACCGTCACACATGCTGCAGGTACTGCTCTCAACGAACACTGAACATGTATACTACCGTCACACATGCTGCAGGTACTGCTCTCAACGAACACTGAACATGCATACTACCGTCACACATGCTGCAGGTACTGCTCTCAACGAACACTGAACATGTATACTACCGTCACACATGCTGCAGGCACTGCTCACAACGAACACTGAACATGCACACTACCGTCACACCTGCTGCAGGTATTACTCTCAACGAACACTGAACATGCATACTACCGTCACACCTGCTGCAGGTATTGCTCTCAACGAACACTGAACATGCATACTACCGTCACACCTGCTGCAGGTATTGCTCTCAACGAACACTGAACACGCGGTCAGTTATATGTATACTATGTGGTATTGGCAGGGTTCGCATGCACTGGAACGGCTGGCGGTGGCTGGCAACGCGCTGCGCGAGGTGCCGAATGAGCTGCTGCGAGGGTTGGCCGCCCTGAGCTACCTCGACCTCAGCCGCAATCTGCTGTCTCGCCTGCCCAACGCCTTCTTCGCAGACCAACGTAATCTCACCGACCTCTACCTCGATCGCAACCTGTTTGAGACTTTACCCGGGTGAGCGGACTTTGTTTTTAGGATATCCTTAGTTATAGTTGTACGTGTGTACGCTAAAGTATTTTTATGTATTTAATCCTAAAACATTTCTCAAATATGTCATAAAAGTAAAAATCTCCAAGCGTCAAACCCAAAAACTGTAGCTGCAGCGAAGTTTTTTCTATTATATTTGTTAGCATATTATTATCTGTTTTCTTTTTTCAAATTCAAATTCACTTCGCTGAACAAAAATATCTAATTAAGCTGTGGCTACCTATTAGAAAATAAACACATAATATGTGGCAATGTTGTCATATTTTTTCCGTGTTATGTATATCACGTGTCCCCGAAATCAACGTCAAGCCAAAAACAGGCAATAGGCCAAGTCGTGGCAGTTATTAAAAAAAAAGAACAATCTTAACCGGCAATAGACCAAATCGTGACAAAAATATAAAAAAGATCTTGTTCATGTACTTTTCCAATTTATAAGGATTCAAAAATAAATGTCAAGAACTGACATCCCGTGATGGTCTTGCCCAGTCACTATAATCAAGCCCTGTCACTATAACAACTATTTTACGTCAATTTTTTTTCTTGTGATGTTACCATAAATAATCCTTCTGTAAATTACAGTTAAAGTAAACATAAACATAAATTGAATTAAAAAAAATTGATCACCCAATTTTAACAGACTGTACTGAAAAATAATGTATTACACTATTTTGGCAAGTAACTTTAAAAGATGGCACGTTTAGTATGAATTCCTAAGTACACTTCGTAGTATAGTCATGCCACAGCTATATTAATTTTACATTTGTAGTACGAATGGGTCGACTCGACCAGGGAAGGACCACGCTGTCACAGAATACCAGCGTAAAATAGTAGTTTGATGCTGCTGTGTTTCGTATGGTGAGTGTAGAGAAACGGAGACCGTTTTACTGGAAACAAGGCATTCCATCTTAGTCCTCAAGGCTGACAACGCATCTTCATTTTGATTCGCAAACGAGGATAGATGTAGATGTTTATGGGCCACAGCAACCACTTACAATCAGGTGAACTGTGTGCTCGCTTGTCACCCTTATCATATAAAAAAAACAGAGGCAGTTATGTTTTAACTCTTAACTGTAATTCACAGAAGGGTTACTCACGGCTTCATACAGAAAAAAAACTGACGAAAATTTAATATTTGTAGTTACAAAACTTGAAAGATCATCTCAGGTTGTCAGTTTTAAGATTTATTTTAGAATCTCTATAATTTCAAAGTACACGACAAAGATCTTTTTTTATATTTTTCTAATGACTGTTACGATTTAGTCTATTGCCCGTTTCTGGCTTGACGTTGATTTCTAGGACATTTTTTCATAGGAAATTTAGAACGAATGGATCGGCTTGATGGATAAAAAATACGCTTGTACATACCAGCGTTGAAAGGAAGCATAATGCTCCTGTTTCCTATGGTCAATTTTGAGAACCGGAGACCGTTTTTAGAAGTTTAGAAGTCAACTTCTATTGACTCCGATATCAGACTTATCGCATTTCATCTTCACCTCTTGTTTCTAAAAACAACATAGTAGTAATCTCGTGTAGATTAATCACCATTAAGGCGGCCGATCTCCTCGAAGACTAGTCGTCTATGCAGGATAGGAGTAAGTGCCAAGTGTACGCGCAAGCACACGTGCACTCTCTATTCCCCTCACTCTTATAGTGCGATGCGACGGTAACCCCACTCGACCGGAGAGATCTGGCGCAACAGCTTTACGTGCTTTCCGAGGTACGGAAGTGAAACACCGCCAAATTCCTAATTCCGGGCTACTAAGAATTTCCCGCAGAAAAAAAACTGATTTTGGTTCGGCTAGAGATTCGAACCCGTAACTTAATGATCAGCAATCGCGTTCACGAGCACTAGATCAACGAGGCAGTAAACCAACAAAACGTGTCAACAGCTCAATGTTCGTGGGTCTGAGCGAACTGAAGGTGCTGTCGCTGGACCACAACCGGCTGCGGTACATCGAGAGCGACGCGTTCGTGGGGCTGCGCGCGTTGCGCGAGCTGCGCCTCGCACACAACCAGCTCGCACTGGCGCCGCCGGACACAATATCCGGACACGGTACGGATACACATCTTTAATATTTTTTTAAACCCTGAACAAGTCCACAGAAGACAAAGGCGCAAGAAAATCGTAATACGATACTATTTTCTTTAAGAGTGAACCCCACAAACTACGATCGTCCACTACCAAAATCCATCAGCTTTCTGCATATCTTATCAAGTTGTCGCTCTCTCTAGTGAGTAGCGTGACTGGCTAATGAAGTCCGCAGCTGGACGCAGGCCGCCGTCGCGGAGCCTCAGAGGGACGATGTTTGTTACGCTTGGCAAGCGAGTTATTATGAAGAGCCTGCTGCTCATCTCTTGATATTTTTCCCTATGTCGCCTCTGTCGCCTCTTACGACACCCACGGGATGATACGAGGTAGTGGATATTTTACAACGCAATTACATATAAGACGTAGCCAACCACTAGCAATACCCAGAGCTAACACATATTATCGTTGCAACTATTTTTGAATTTTTGAAAAAATTTCAACAATCTCTCATTTGGTAGGAGCAACTTGTAATTATTTTCGACTAAAACTTTAAATTTCAACATAAAATTTCCTCCTCACCTCAGAGTTTTGCCCTTTAATCTAGGCGTACCACAATTTTTTAGGTGTTTGTTTTCCCCTCTTTTTTTGTATTTTTAGTTGATCGACATTGCTTTAAAAAACCCCCCGTGTGGTCTATATACATTCTTCATCGTACGTGTACTCCACGGGCCAATAGTGTCTATAGCAAATGTCACGAATATGAAATCATATAATATTTGCGCTACTTACTTAGTTCGACGCCATACCGCCCCGGCTCCAAACGAGCTACCCTTAAATCAGAGGCTACCAAGGTGTTTACACATATGGTCCCCACTCTCGGGTTTTATCTTACTCAAAAGGGACCAAATTCATACCGTCTAGTCTTCTGCCATCATCTCATATAATTCCATAAGGATTTAAAACCGAGAGAATATTGAAATAATACTAATTTTTACGGAATTTATCGCGTATATTTAACTTTTTTACCCGACGTTTCGAGAGCTTTACAGCACCCATGGTCACGGGAAGGACTGAGATGTTCAACGTCCAGCTGTCATAGTTAACCGCGGTTACCATAGATTAAAATTTACGCAATAAACCAGAACTTACGATTCTCCGCGCAGATAAGGGAAACGCCACGGTGGTCATGGATACGTCAGATTATAATTCTAAAATACAAGAACTTTTGTCGGATGTAAGTACTTATAAAAAAGGTTAAAAACGACCCAACAAACAGCACACTAAAAACAACTAGTGACCTCATAAAGAAACACTCCGAAAAATTAAATCTGGACGTAAAATGGATAATACCTACGTGCGCCAAATCACCAAAGTTGTATGGGTTACCAAAAATACACAAGCCCAATGCTCCATTACGCCCCATAGTGAGCCAAATCGATTCACCAACTTACAGATTGGCTCAACACTTAGCGAAAATACTCTCACCGCTCAGGGGACATACAAGAGCACACATAAAGGATTCCTACCATTTTGTCAGCGAGATTAAAGACCTACGTCTGGCAGACAATGAAACTATGGTCAGTTTTGATGTGCAGTCATTGTTTACATGCTTACCTGTTGAAGACTGCATCTCAATTGTAACTAGAAGGCTGGAAGAAAACAACATGCCCGTAGAATATGCAGTATTACTCAGACACTGCCTTACATCTGGCTACCTATTGTGGAAGGAGGAGTTCTACAAGCAAGTAGATGGTGTGGCGATGGGCTCACCTGTATCTCCCATTGTCGCCGACATATTCATGGAAGACTTTGAGGAGAAAGCCCTGCTTACTTCTCCCATAAATCCAAAATTCTACAAGCGGTACGTAGACGACACTTTCACAATTCTACCTTTAGATAAAGTAACTGCATTTTTAGACCATCTTAACTCTATAAATACTAAAATTCAGTTCACAATGGAGTTAGAGGCAAACAATTCCTTAGCTTTTCTAGATGTGTTAGTAATTCGGAATCCTGATAACACCTTGAGCCATACTGTGTATAGAAAAAAGACCCATACAGATAGATATTTAAACGGTGATTCTCACCACCATCCTTCACAGTTAGCTACCGTGGGTAAATCTTTGTTTCAGAGAGCACGAGGGATCTGTGACAGTAAATACCTGGCTGCCGAGCTCCAACATGTCAAGCAAGTTTTGCATGACAACAAGTTTCGGGTACGGCGCCTACCTCACAGTGCACGTGTGAAGCCGGCCACAGTCGAGCGTGTACCTGCTGTACTGCCGTATGTTAGAGGAGTCACTGACAAGATTGGCTACATCTTGAAGCGCGCTTCCATCAAAACATACTTCAAGCCACCGAAGAAGATTGGTCAGTTTTTACCATCAGTCAAGTGTAACGTCCCTCTGCAAGATGCAGGAGTGTACAAGCTTGATTGTGAATGTGGTCTCTCCTACATAGGACAAACTAAAAGATCAATTAAAACCCGCGTCAAAGAACATATAGCTGATGTGAAGAATCGACGCTCCGGGAAGTCTGCAGTCTGTGAACATGTACAGGATCGCCCCCGTCACTACATCAGATTTGATAGACCACAAATCCTCGCTAAAGAACACCGATTCCTTCCAAGGATGATTCGCGAGGCTATTGAAATCAAAAAACATCCTAATTTCAATAGAGAAGATGGCTGGGTGCTACCATCTGCTTGGGATCCTATAATAAATAAAATTAAATCCCAACCCAAGCACACAACTGCAAGACTCCATGATACCATAAGTTCATACTGTGTAGATCGGAACAAAAGTTAAATTTTAATCTATGGTAACCGCGGTTAACTATGACAGCTGGACGTTGAACATCTCAGTCCTTCCCGTGACCATGGGTGCTGTAAAGCTCTCGAAACGTCGGGTAAAAAAGTTAAATATACGCGATAAATTCCGTAAAAATTAGTATTATTTCAATGTGTAGTGTTCGCGTAAATGTAAGAAATCATTACGAGAGAATATTGATAGAGAAAAAGCTCTTCACATAACATCGTTCAAATGACCATGACGTTCTAATACTAGCACTATTCTCAGATGAAAGTCCGTAGAGCCCAAACTTGTTGGCACCGCTATCACAAGGGTACTAATACGATTGACTGATCACCCTTCCAACTCGTATTCCTACGGCTGTGCGCAAGATTTCGCCATCAAGTAATGTGCCGAGCGTAATGTCCTGACAGGATCTAGTGATGACTATGACTACGTAATGTGGGGGAGATCTCAATGAGGAGACGTGTAGATCTGTCTAGGTTTTTAATTGGACTACTTTTCTTACTACAGTCATAGAATAAGTAATAGTAACTACGTACAGAAGTTACACTATTTTCATGCTGACTGCTTGCCGACGTTTAATAGCCTACATAATTATTATTAATTAGATAAATCGCGTCCGCAACCTAAATAAAACTTTATCGCTACGCGATAGTGTCCGTATTACTTTTCATCTTTTCCCCTTTCTACGTTACTGCGGACTTTCCGTTGTTACTAAGGGATGTCAATAAAGAGTAACAAAATACAATGCAAAATGTTAATTAAGTTACTTAAGGTGAAATACCTATTCTGACTATGATCGACTGACCATATTTTCGTACCTATGTGAGTTCTACGATGCCTAACGCATGCAACTTGCAAGGCCATTCGTCGGGAATCGCGATGCTTGGCTCGGAACAAAAATGTAGATAGTGTAAACAACAAACTTAATAAAAAATAAAAATATAAATTTCTTCGCAACCTTCCGCCAACAAATACAATGATGTGCCTTACCTGGATTGAAGAGCACCTCCCCGCCGTCCCTCAATTGCATGCACTAACTCCGTCACCACTAATCCCAGCACCACTACTCCCAACACCACTATTCTAGGCAAGACACACCATCGACGATAATACGACACGTGTTTCGCCTCTACACGAGGCATCTTCAGATAATATAGACTCTACGGCGGCTGACCGCTAAGTGAGCGGCGAGCCGAAACAGCTGCTATTTATACACGCCGGCACAACTTTGGACTTTGATAGGCTGTAATGATGATGATTATTTTGCCAGCATCGCTGTAATGTATTTTGTTAACAACCCGCGTTAATGTTCAAGTATGGACGTCAATAATAAACACAGATGTCATCACTGTTGTCACTTGCTCCTGCGCAGGTTACGGGCTGCTGGCCGAGCCGCCGTCGCCCTTCAACTCTCTGTTCCTGCTGACGCACCTCGACCTCAGCCACAACCGCGTGCAGCAGCTACTCGACGACTGGCGCAACGTGCTCGTCAGTCTGCAAAAGCTCAACCTAAGTTGGAATAACATCACTGATTTGAATGTAATTTACTTGTTTTATATTTTCTTATTAATGATATCAGCGGTACACTACAAATCACACTGTCTTAGCTTCAACCATACATCCATTACAGCTTATAAAATCCCCTGCTGAAAATAGGCCACATTGCTTCTTCGGGAGGATTTTGCCACAGTCGTCACGCTTAGTAAGTAGGTTAGCAACTACAGTTTTTTGAAGTTAAATTTCTTTACGCACGCTTGACTTGCGGAGTAAGCTGGCGAACGCGTGACGAAAGCGTTACGAAAAGTGTAATCGGATGAGGCAAACGCGAGTTAAGTGAGGAACATAAGTAAGAGAGAGCAGTTCGCGCACACATTTTCTTTCTCTCTTTCTCTCATAGCCAGTTACGTTCCGTATATCAGCAAAATACGAGTATCCTTTTGAACTATTTCATGAATTAATATTTTTTTCAATACATTAAATATTCTACGTTTAAAATGAATAAAATTGTAAATTCATTTTAAAGTTCATGTTTTGTGAATTTTTGGGTGAATAATAAAAAAATGATGGAAGGAAGCCGATAATAAATTTAAATATTTGTAAGAAATTAATATATTTATATACATATACGTGAGACGTAATTTATATATATATATATATATATATATATATATATATATATATATATATATATATATATATATATATATATATATATTGTATATACAGATGGAGCTAAAGAAGTTTTACTTCAGTCGTGTAGTTATAAGTTCACTCGTTTTTATTATTATTTTAAGTTGTATCATCAGAAAGATGCTGCAGTACATCTTCTGTTTCAATTTAGCTCTGTCTCTGTCCCGATACCCACGGGACGATATAGGGTACTGGATATACGTATACAGTCACTACACGCTAACTTAGCAAAAGTCTCTAGCTTAACGAATGCCTATTCACAAGGCGAGCCGCCTGGAAGGAATCCGGATTGTAATCGGACGGAAAGACAGGCGCCGGCATACTATTTCACTCCTTTACTTCACGCATTACGAAAGACTAAGCAAACCGTTTAGTTCAAATGAGCAGAATATCGACAACCAATGAGGTGAAAACCCGCCGACCACCTGGTTGTTCGAGCCGGGCCAAAAAACTAGTTTATACGAGCATAGACATAAATACAAAGAAAGATCTAATAGCTCGAGTAAATTCTGCATTTGAAACCATGAAGGCGGAGATGGAATTTAAAATCACGACCACAGGAAGTGAGAAACCGGGCCCGTGCTTGCATTAGAAATAACGGCCGTCGGTTTGAACATGAATAATAAAAGATTTCAATTGAATAATAAAAAATAATCCTATGATACATGACTTTAATGGAATAAAGTAAAAAACAAGTTTTATTTAGCCATAAATAAGAGTTAACTAGAAAATTTTGGGCATTTTCGCTAAAATTCATAAAAACTTTAAAAAAAAATGCTTAGACTTCATCTAAGATAAGCATGGCTTAAATAGTTTTAAATTGTCTATATTAGCGCCCCTTGGAAGCTTTGCACCCATCTACCAATCAGTCTGTATATCTTTTAAGATTATTTTTTGAAACCCCCTTATATAGAAATTAATTATTAATTATTAATAACAATGATGGGCCGTCACATAGGCATAAGCCTAATTAATTACTATGTAACGTAACACATAAAAACTAGCCTAATTAAGTGCAATATTTTTTCAACTACATAAGTTAATACCCATTAAAAACACAAAAGACTATAACTTAGAATATTAGTGTGTATTCTCTGCTTCAATATGATCCAACGATCCGTGTTGTTGAATCCTAATTGAAGTCACTAAAACAGAGGCGGAAAACATTTGGAAATAATGTGAGCGTACCGGTATGTTTAAATAATATCTCCAGAACATGTGAAGTTCATCACCGCATTATGTGAGAGAATGCACATAAAGGGGGATGCCCACTGTTCATAGACACTTCGGCCATTGGTGCCCACATATAAAAGCATATGGAAACGATAATATGCAATTAAAATAATGAAATGGCTAAGGAATTGGTTTAAAAAAAGTCGGGATTTTTATGATATAAAAGTTTTTATTTTCACAAATACAGTTTTTTAACAACTACTTTTACCAATTTTATCGCTTTTAACTTCTTTAACTTTTATTTCCCGACATTTCAGGTGCTTTATAGCACCCATGGTCACGGGAGACTGAGGTGACTGCCACTCCAATGTCAGTATTGGGACACCTACCTTCCACGATACCACGATACCTTCAGCTTTTTATTATTATTTTAATAGTCCAATCTATGCAGATTGAATTTACTCTATCTTTAAGTCTTGCAGTGGTATGCCTGGGTTTGGTTTTAATTTTATTAATTATAGTGTCCCAAGTAGGTGGTAGTACCCAACCGCCTTCTCTATTGAAATTAGGATGTTTTTAATTTCAATAGCCTCACATATCATCCTTGGTAGGAATTAAGGCTCTTTCGCGAGGATTTGTGATCTATGAAATCTGATGTATGTCTATCTGGTTGGGGTGACAACCTTGACATACGGTAGTACAGCTAGCACACGCTCAACTGTGGTCGGCTTCACTCAGTCACTGTGACGTAGATGTGGGACCCGAAGCTTGATTTTGTGCAGAATCTGCTTGATGTGCTGAAGCTCCGCGGCCAGGTGCTTGCTCTCATAGATCCCATATGCTCTCTGTAACAAACATTTGCTCACGGTAACCTTGTGTTAACTCACGGTAACTTTGTGTGAAGGATGATGGTGAGATTCACCGCTTAAATATAAGTTTGTATGGGTCTTTTTTCTATACACAGTGTGACATATGATGTTGTTAGGATTTTGGAGAACAAAAACATCTAGGAAAGCTAAGAAATTATTTGCCTCTAATCATCATCATCATCATTACAGCCCTTCACAAGTCCACTGCTGAACATAGGCCTCCCCCCAAGTAATGCCACAAAGCACGGTCCTGAGCCACCTGCATCCATCGACTTCCTGCATATCTTACCAGGTCGTCACTCCATCTAGTGGGGGTCGCCCTACACTACGCCTACCGGTACGAGGCTGCCACTCGAGAACCTTTCTTCCCCATCGGTTATCGGTTCTTCGAGCTATATGGCCGGCCCATTGCCACTTCAGCTTACTAATCCGTTGGGCTATGTCGGTCACTCTGGTTTTACTGCGGATATCCTCATTTCTGAGTCTATCACGCAGAGAAACTCCGAGCATAGCCCTCTCCATAGCTCGCTGAGCGACCTTGAGCGTCCTCATACGGCCAGCAGTGAAGGACCACGTCTCTGATCCGTAAGTCATCACTGGCAACACGCACTGGTTGTACACTTTAGTTTTCAGAGATTGAGGTATACCTGACGAGAAGATGTGTCGTAATTTCCCGAACGCTGCCCAGCCGAGTTGGATCCGTCGATTGACCTCTCGGTCGAAGTTGGACTTACCTAGTCGGACTATTTGTCCCAGGTAAACGTACTCGTCAACAACTTCGAGCATAGTGCTCCCCACAACTTCCGGCATAGGTGTGACATGGACATTGAACATAATCTTTGTTTTGTCCATGTTCATCTTAAGACCTATCCGTTGGGAGACACCATTGAGGTCATTGAGCATAGTGCTAAGGTCCTCCAGCGATTCTGCCATAAGGACTATATCGTCGGCAAATCAAAGGTGAGTGATGTACTCGCCATTGATGTTAATACCGTATCCTTTCCAGTCCAGTAGCTTGAAAACGTCTTCCAAAGCAGCGGTGAAGAGTTTCGGGGATATAACGTCACCCTGTCTTACACCTCTCTGCAGTTGGATAGGTTTCGAGCTCTGGTTCTGTACTCGGATAGCCATCGTAGCCCTACTGTACAAACACTTCAGCACTTCGATATACCGACAGTCAACTTGGCACCGCTGAAGGGACTGCAGCACCGCCCAAATTTCGATTGATTGAGATTGCCTCTAATATAATATCGTAATTACTGAATGGAATTTGGCACAGAGAGTGTTAACGATGGATAAAATTCATAGTAACAACATCCTGATTTAATATTTCACGGGCCATATTCATGAGCCGCTTTTATTTGTTTCTTGGCACTTGCAATAATGCCGATATGCATTCATCACTATCTCATGTTCCTATTTTCAGCAAATATACAGCAAGTGCAAAACATCCACTATGTTTACTTGACATTTTGGGAACTTTAGACAGAATTTATTGTTATTGTGCTTTTGATAAGCCTAGATAATAATGTACACTATATTCAGGCATACTGTGAATACTTTCAAAGTCTATAATATGATGGTAAATATTATCTTACAATAATGTAGAAAAATCTATAATTTGTGCTAGACCAAATGTTTTAATATGATTATATATTGATTCTAAAAGTAAATACCAAGAGTTACTATTTAAATGGTACTTACTGATTCTACATTCTGGAAGTACATAGTAATTGTATTCATAAAAAGACATACCCGCAATGTTGATGGAATGTTACAACCAGGAAAAAACATTGATTTTGTGTGAGTGGTGGTCTTACAAAATTAGGCAGCAGTATATTGTACGATGTATGATCTAAGCTTTGTTGTTCTATGTTCAATATATTACTCACTTTAGATTGCAACGAGGACGGACTAGATGATTCAGATGGTTCCCGTTCTAAAGTTTAACGTGATGCTGCTTTATCAGTCCTTTGCCAGCAATCATGACACGCGATGACGATGGCAACTGAAATAATAATAAATAAAAAAAATAAGACAAAGTGAACAAAATAAAATAGATTTGTTTACTTTAAACTCAAATATAGGTAAATGTTACTTAAAACTTAATGCCCTATATCTTTATTAATTAAGGACTGACTGCCTACCAGTAGTCCAAAAACAATTAAAAATCGACTTTCTCATTTCTTGGTATTTGATAAAAATTGTCCATTTTGTAACTATCTGGTGTTAGCTAGCTAATCTTATCGCCATGTTATAAATAAGCTATTATGTTTGTCAGATATAGCTTGTGCATATGTTAAAAAA